TCGGTCCCATAAAAAAATAATAATTGTGGAAAATTTCCGCCCTTATCTTTATTTTTCAGTTAGGGCTCGAAAAAATAAGAACGTTAAAAAAATTGTGCCGATACTTTTTTTACTTAACAATTAAATATAGCAAATTAAAAAAACTACCTTGTAGCCCATTCAACTGCAGTATAATAAGCCCAAGTTTGAAGTTAGAAGGACTTACCGTTGATTTTTGGCAAGTTTTTTGTTGACCGTTTTATTCATGGAAAAACCATTAACAACTCCGTATGGAAAAAATTACTGACACTGTTAAAAAAAAATCCCACAAATCAAGGGCAAATCCTAGCCAGGGCCGAAGAGANATGGAAAAAATTACTGACACTGTTAAAAAAAAATCCCACAAATCAAGGGCAAATCCTAGCCAGGGCCGAAGAGAGAAAACTCGGGCCTAGGACTAAAAAATCATGGGCCCCTATATATAAATTGTATTAATTTAAAAGCATGTGGCCCAAATCGCCGAAAACGAAACAAAGGGGAACAATTTTTTTCTCAGGTTTCGCAGATTTTTTATTATATCTGGGTCATACATATTCTGAGGTATCAGACAATATATGAAAATTCAAGAGCCAACATTTTTTTTCAATATACTTGCTTCACTCCGCTTGCCTTGTAGTGAAGTTAATAAAAAAGTATTCGAAAAAATAATCAGTGATTAACTTTGTAAATGAAGATTAAGTAGGCAGCATTTTTAATGTAATGTAACAGTAAAAATACCAAACAGTTTTTTTTTTGGAGCGGAATCCACCAGGATAAAAAAATGGGAAAATCTGGTTTTCTTCGAGCATTTTCGGCCTTCTTTCATAAAAAATAAAGCATTTTCCTATACTCTTCATTATCAATTTGTTTTCGGTGGAAAACTATTTGTAACATAAGAGAATTTTTACTAATTGAATTTTCAGGTAAAATTACCTTTTATTTAGTTAGAGATAGGGTTCATTTTAAAGGCAACATTGTAAGCTATTCAACGTGTTATTGACTCATACTTAAAATTTATATTCTTTCTAACTCAAATAGGCTCAGAAAACATACATAGCTGTTGAAATATTTATAACTCAGTTTTATTATATTTTAGGCATATATTAAGTATTGCCGCATACTTATGCTTTCAGATGCAAGAAAAAAACTATCCGAAATTTGTTTTCTGGCGGGTTTCATTATATTTCTGGCGGCATTTATAAAGCACTGTGAGCCAAAACCAAAATGTTCTGTAGCAGTCCACGTTTTGAGCTCGCAAAAATAAGAACTTATTTTATTTATGGTGTCAGAAACAATCAGTACGAATCGGAATATATTTATAATAGAAGCCTACAACGACTGAGCAACAGAGCTGAAATTTCGCAACAATTATTTTTTGGAACCGACATAGAAATTTTGATATGAGACCGAAACAAAACAAGGCATTCCTTTTAATAGGTACGTAACTACCCAATACACATTGTGGCGAACGTTCGAAAAAACCTTCGTTATCCAATATGAATATCGAACTGAGGACGAACTCATAACCAACCTTAGTTTTCCAACGTTCATACACTCGAAATTGGTTCGAAAAAAATTAAAACCGTAGTAACAAAAGAGAAAGTGAAATGCAGCTCATTCTCGAAGTGAACTAGAAGACAATCACTCCCTCTCCACAAAATTTCAATTATATAGTGGGCTGGATTTCAAATGTATACCGAAGCGTAAATACATTGGATAACGAAGGTTACGTTTTGCTGGAGAATAGCCTACTACTTGAATCGAATACTAACCCATTGCACATCCATTATCGAAGGTGATAATCGAAAAAAGGATTGGTTTTCCAATCATTTTCGAATTGTTAACCAAGCGCTATGTTTATTGGGTATGTATGTTCATAGATACATGTTATCAAATGCAAATGACGGTTAGCGGAGGCGTGGTGTGTGCTTGGTAAACTGTCTGCGGTGTATCAATTTCCGCATTAATGCACACAACACTCCTTCCACCAGCAAAGCGATGCGTAGTTCACGTCAAGTTGGGATATTCTGCAAACATACCTGATAAATATAGCATACATATTTCACATACATACATAAGTACTGTATCTATGCACATACATACATATGTATGAAGTATAAATACACTCATATGCAGAATAGCTTGTCTTTACCTCCTGCCTGCGCTGCCACATATCAAAGTGTCATTATCAGCTGTGCTATGCTGCAACCTGTGGTTGTGTCTACATAAGCATGCCAAACATAAGTGTATGTAGATATGTGAAACCATTGACTGGGCGTGCAGTAGTGGGGAATGGGCACATACATGTATGTAGTCATATCGGTAAAGATGATGCGGGGGCGAGAACGCAACGAAACCAAACACTATGGTTGGGAAACTGCAACCCTTGCATTAGTGGTCAACATAAGCCGAAATGCGAAAAGTTTATGTGTCGCATTGTGCCACACGTGACCAACTACCGGACATGCCTGACTGCCTAAGCACACATTCGCATGCATGCCAGTATGTGAGCTATGCCTATGTAATATGTGTATGTACATTTTCATTGCCAAAGTTGACTTTTGGAAACCATTGTGGCAAATTTATAAATTCATTAAATTGTCTGGTGGACGAATATATGGAACACTTGGTAAAAAAAATATACTCGCAGTTAGCAAAATTATCTGTTAAAAGTGAACTAAATATAAAATCGATATAACGGTGATTTCATTTATAAATTTCAAAGGTTGTACAGGATTTGTATGGGACTTTATTTTTAGCATATGCCTGGTGGAAAGGAGTTGCCGTAAGTAGTCCATTAAGTTTTGTTTGGTAGAACGTGCTGGCAAGTTAAGCAAGTCAATTTTTGGATCCTCATTCTTTAGTTGATCTACTGAAACGAATTTCTGCCAACCTTGCTAAAAAATTTAATATATTTTCCGCATTTTTAGCAAGCACAGGAAACAAGTAGTGAGAGAGAATATGTTGATGGCAAGTGGAAACTCCACTCCAAAGATAAGATCGAACGTATGTACATGGCGTATGAGTAACATTTTCATCTCGTCCGGGGAAGGCAGGCAGTCTGCACACGGGTCTTATAGCTTTAGACGCGACCTTTACTATTTCTTATGCAGCAACGATTCCTCAACGCGTCAAGATCTGCATACGAAGGGAGTGTAAAGTGATGAAAAATTATTATTTTTTTCAATTATGTTTTAATTTCTTATTTTATTGTTCCATCTGAAATTTGCATAAAATGCATGCACGCACTCGGAGAATTGTAAACAAGCTTCTTCTTCCTATTTTTCAACACTGCTGTACCGCAAGCGATTCGCAGCTACATGAGGCGATTTTTTGACGGGCGATAATCGCCAACAAAAGCTGACTTGGTATCTAATTTGCGGCAAGTGATTTTCTTGAGCAATGTTGAATCACCTAGAAAATCGTCTCATGTATGTAAATGCAGCTTAACTCAACTCGTCTGGGTAACTCATACGCCATGCACGTATATATACATACGTTCGATTTTAACTTTTCCGTGATATTTGATAGATCCAATATTGATCCGCCATTTTGAATTTATAAAACCTGATTTCAGGTTTATAATCAGCGCCTCTATGGAACCGCAATTGTAAAGTTTTAAGCGAATCTAATTGAGTTTGATTTTTTTGTCCTACATTTTGAATTTTTCCAATCTGGCTTCAGATTCGTAATCAGCGACCCCAAAACCACCGAATAACGAATTCCAAGTGAATCCGATAAATTAAAAAAATCTTTCGCCATTTTGAATATAGAAATTCTGATGATATATTCGTGATTAGCGACCCTTAAAACATTAGAATCCGTCTTGAACTGATAACTGACAACTGTTTTAACAAATTGAATAAGAAAATTTATTTACGCATTCACGGACATGACATCTTCTAAGGGTCGCAGCATTTACGCAATACTAAGTTTTCAATTCTGGCGTATTTTGTTTGAAGCATTATAAATTTGCGATTGTTTTGACATACTTTTTAATCATTTCTATCGCAGAGAAATTTGGGCATTGGATACATACATATATTTATATATATATTTTCTTTTACTTACATGAAAAGCTAAAATATTTGAAAGGCTAGCAAAAATGGGTTCAGCGGCGAAAGCTAAGGTATCTGTTGATTCTTCCACCGTGTGCATAACTTGCAGAATCTATAAATAGAGAATGAAAAACAAAAAAATATCATAACAACTTTCAACGTGGCCGCAATTTCTAAAGCACACAATAAATAAATAGTACCAACTCACCCTTGGATGACGAAATCTTTCCATTGTTTTTACTGAATTTTTCAGCAATTCCGTTACGGTTTCCTTGCGTCTCGGCTTGTGCAGTTTTTCTGCAATTTTCTTCTCGAAGACGAATATTGAACATTCCTAATAAAAAACAGAAACCCAGGTTTAAACGAGTTAAAAATCATTGTTAGAGGCTACGTAAATGGCGCAAACTTTTTATGCAGCGATTAGTGACCTTCTCAGCCGCGGAATTAAAATTTGATTTAGAACACAAAAAACAAGAATAAATCTGGTTGGTAAAATTCATCTGACCTAAAACCCTGAAGTCAATTCTACTTCAGCCCATCACCGACAGCAGAACTCATTAAAATTAACATGAGACCAAGTCTGATAGCGTGTCTCCTTATGGCACAAATCTGAGATAGTTAGAGAAATTTAAGTTTCTTTAAGTTATTTTTTCATCTCCTTTCTGCTGTAAAAAAATACATTAAAAACGAATGTCGGAAAGGGGAGAAGTGACATGTAACCTATTTGTATACATCGAAGGTACCCAAGCTTCCTAAGCGGCTATTTCGGTGATTTAGCTGGCTTTTTAACAGGGCCAACATTTTCACTCTCCCTGGGTGAAAGAGATCAAGCTGCAGCTGGGAAACCACTTCCATGCCATACTGGTTTCGACCGACTTACGGTTTTTAACAGCATCTCCGCGCCGCAATCGCAATTTCCAATAAATACAGTGCTGCTCAAATTGCACGCCGACAACAATCGAAGCAAAGGCGTATAAACATTGTTGGCAACACACCAGGGTAAATGTCCGGCCGGTTCTAAATAATTTTGTGCAAATTTTGTCACTGGGCACTAGTAGGACTTCAGACCTGTTCGAATGTTTATTTCCGAACGGGAAAGGGATGTGAACTGATGTCGCAAGATTATCATCCACACTGTAAGATGCTTATGATCATCCTTGCCAAGGAGCACAACAACATGTTGAGCAAGCAGTTCCTTGCCAACTGCTACCATCTCAGCACCCACCAGGCAATTGCTAGAGGTAGTGCCTCCTCCTTGACACGTTAGAAGACATCACTGTGAACTGAAGGACCAGATCCAGGACTACATGCAACAACTACTGGACCCGATGGTCATCTCCTTTATATCACTACTATTCGTCCCCGACGGACCCAACGCATGCCCTGCATGCGAACGTTCCCGACTATAACAATCTGTTATGGGCAGGGATAAGTACTAGTCGCACTAAGAATATCAATAATCATACCGGATGTCTCATCTATTACTTGTGAATACTTAAGTCAGTAAATACTACCTTTGAATGTATTCACTAACGTGAAAGATCCATGAACTCAAAAGATTGTCAATCGGCATTGGCTTCCGAAAGATTCATGGTGGTGTTCCGTAAAATTTGGATGTTCCGCAGACAAGTTCTGACTTGTTACAACTTCTAATAACATATACGAATTAGATTTTTTTTTTTCAGTTCAACGGAAACAAGAATATTGGACATATGACCGTAATTTTTGAAATTCAACATAACAATCTCCGCAACTGCACAGCACTTTTTGTTTTAAAACCCAGTTCGTCATAAAAAAGGGACTTCGGTTTCTAGTATATCAACTTCTTGGAGACAAAGGAGGAGTAAGTAAAGTCTCATATGATCGTTTAACTGTATAACTAAGTGCTTGAAGATATGAAAGTAAAGGAATTTGGGGAAATCCCTAGCCTATTTAAACCCAACTTCCTCAACAGTTTGAAGCTTGATTATAGGGCGCGATGAAAGGAAAAGAAAATACGCAAAGGTTAACTTCCTTCAACGGAGAAGTTGACTGATATATTTACGAATAAATTAGAAAAGCAGTGTAAATCTGTAATCGTCGTCCTGGTATAGACACCAACGATATACGATATCCTTACTTTAATATTATAAATGCGAAAGTGAGTTTGTTACGCTTCCATGCTTTAACTACTCAACCGATAATCATGCAATATTGCACACTGGTGTCCTTTAGCCCAACTCGATTAGACAAGTGTTCCGAGTTTTCATATTTGTACTGATTAGGTCCCGATTTTCATTATTTTCTTTATTAATTTAATAAGAGTCTCCCTGTACTAGGTTCCAAAAAAACAAATTTTAGCAAAAACGTAGAAACACTTTCGTTATCACAAAGAACATAGAATATAAGGAAGCCATAAGAAAGCCAGCATATTTATTTTCTATGATGTTTGGTTATGTTTTATTCTACCTGGTACCCTCTGCAGTCTATCATCCTTTTCTAATTTTTTTTAAGGTTTTTATAATTTTTTGTTAAGTTTTTTTTTTTTAATGAGACGATTCAAACTTTAATTTAGTGAAATTTATATAAATGAATACTAATTCAACGCAAAAAGANTTTTTTTTTTTAATGAGACGATTCAAACTTTAATTTAGTGAAATTTATATAAATGAATACTAATTCAACGCAAAAAGAACACTGAATATGGCACAACGCCGAAACCGGTTTGTCTCCAAACCAAATTTGACAAGGGATGACGGAAAGTCGTTCCACATTACATCAGAATACTAACTCCCTCAAAAAATGCATGGATATGAAAAATATAAGCTCTTAATACAGTGGCGAAAATATAAATAAAGAAAAGATATTTTAGCAACCCATGGTTATTCCCCTTTTGATAGTTTAATGTTTATTATTTGTTAATTAAAGTTTTCCTCGTTATCTAACAAAGGCCATGGAAGTCATAATTTCAAAAAAAGACAAAGTTTCATCAACATTTTGAGCTTTTCAATTACATTTCTTAGAAACATTCTGAGTAGGCACTTTTGTAACCCATTCAATTCAAAGTGCTACTTTTAAGTAGCTAAGACTTATCGTTGAAGGAGTTGCTAATTTTCTCCATATAAAAAGTTTTCGAACATACTAGTATGTATGGTAGAAAATGCGCGAATAAAAAATTTAANTTCTTAGAAACATTCTGAGTAGGCACTTTTGTAACCCATTCAATTCAAAGAGCTAATTTTAAGTAGCTTAGACTTATCGTTGAAGGAGTTGCTCATTTTCTCCATATAAAAAATTTTCGAATATACTAGTATGTATGGTAGAAAATGCGCGAATAAAAAATTTGAAAAAATCTACAGTAAAACATGAACTTTATTATACTAAAACTTAGTGAGCTACAAAACTGCATACTCAAAACAATTCTAAAAAAAATCTGATTAAAGTGTTTAAAATTTTGATCAACATTTGTTAAAATTCGTCGAACTTTTATAAATCTTCTACAAAATTTGAAATTTTGATTTACTTGTTTTTTTTTAGATAGTAAGCTATATTTTCATAAAAAAAATAATAACCAATTTTTAAAAAAGAAATCTAGCCAAAACTTGCTAAAATGTCTTTTCCCTATTTACATTCTCGCCACCGTATAATCTGTGTGTATACATTTTTGTGATCAGTTAAAATTTGTTTCTCCTTGTTTTGTTATAAATAAAGTTGTATTAAAAGATGTTATGTCCCTTTATTGTAAAAATGAAATTGTTTGTTCGGATTCGATGCCTTAGAAATGTTCCGATTTCTGTCCACAGAAATCTGGTGACCGTAGCCATAGGGCTGCCACCTATTCCAAAGATTAAATTCGACTTGAATTAAGGGCATTATTGATTTGAAATTTTTAGGCATTATAGGTGTCAGGCGAAAGAGGCTTAAAAAGTTGTAGTTGGAAAATATTTCGAAATAAAAACTTTTATATGCCAGATTCGCGCAGCATACGACATGTGGCAAACATGTAAATAAAAAACTCTTCTGAGTAGCTTTTCAATAGTTATAGAGTTTCTGAGAAGGAAAGGGAAGGTTCTGCAAAACTAAGCCGAAAAAAACATGTTGTTTTATTAAAAAAATAAAATTTTTGGAAAAAAAATAAATTGAAACTGGGCTGATCCGCTTTTCAATAGTTCTAGTAAAGTTCTGCAAAATTTCGCAGAAAAAATTTTTTTTCGAAAAAGTTAAATTTTTGAAAAA